AGAGCTCCCTGACAAAGAGGGTCAGGAGCCCCCACAGACACACACTGGAGACAGCCAGAAACACCCACAGGCACAGACTGGGGACAGCCAGAAACACCCACAGACACACACTGGGGACAGCCAGAAACACCCACAGGCACAGACTGGGGACAGACAGAAACACCCTCAGACACACACTGGGGACAGCCAGAAACACCCCCAGGCACAGACTGGGGACAGTCAGAAACACCCCCAGGCACAGACTGGGGACAGACAGAAACACCCCCAGGCACAGACTGGGGACAGCCCAAAACCTCCCCAGACACGCTCTGGGGACAGACAGAAACACACCCGGACACAGATGGGGGACAGACAGAAACACCCCCAGACAGGTGTCCCCAACAATCAGAAGCCCCCACAGACACCAGAAGAGACGGAGCAGCAGGAAGAGGCTTTGGGAGAAGGTCCTGTCCCCATGGAAGGGGGGCCAGGTGAGTCCCAGGGGTGCCAGGGGTGGGTGTTTCTCTGGCAGTGCCCATGGCAGAGGGCACAGCTGGTCCTGATACTCAGAGGAGCATCATCAGGGAGGAGTGGGAGCCTTGGGTCGCTGGCACAGGCCAATGGAAGGGGGTTGAGGGCCTGGACATGGGAGTACAGCCTGTGGAGATGGTGGGATGAGGCTGCTCTGTGGAGGTGATGGCTTATGGCGCCTTGGTGTCCTTCTCCCAGCCCTCCCTCTGCTTTTGGTCCATGTGTAGCTTCGTTCCAGTTCCTCCCAACACCACACAGGCTTTCCTTAGAATCCATGAGGTTGGAAAAGCCCTCTAAGACCATCAACTTCCTCCATCCCCCAGCACTGCCAAGGCCACCACTGACCTATGTCCCCAAGTGCCACATCCACAGGGCTTTTAAATTCCTTCAGGGATGGGGACTCCACCCCTGCCCTGGGCAGCTGTGCCAGGGCTGGGCAGCCCTTCCCAGGAGGAATTTTTGCAATATCTAATCCATGTCCTGGCTCTTGAGCCACAGCTCTCTCCGGCTTTTCCTCACACTCCCGGCAGTCTCCAGTTCCTCACACCGGAGCAGGGAGCTCTCCATGGGTCTTTCAAATCCCTTTTCCCTGCAAACAGAACTCCCCATCCTGGTGATGAACGTCATGTCCCTGGGGGGCCATCGGCCAGGGATGGAGACAGAGGATCCGGAGGATCCCGCGGATCCCGACACAGGTCAGTCACCCTGTGCTGGGGACGGGGGGGGCTGGCGGACAGGAGGCATCTCCCAGAGCTCTGATGGGCTGGAAATGGGGAGGGAGAAGGACAACCATCAGGAGATGGGCCACCACTGACCCACGTCCCCAAGTGCCACATCCACAGGGCTTTGAAATCCCTCCAGGGAAGGGACTCCACCCCTGCCCTGGGCAGCTCTGCCAGGGCTGGACAGCCCTTTCCAGGAGGAATTTTCCCAATATCCAGCCTGACCCTCCCCTGGTACAGCCTGAGGCCGTTCCCTCTCATCCTGTCCCTGTTCCCTGGGAGCAGAGCCCAACCCCCCCCAGCTCCAACCTCCTGTCAGGGAGTTGCAGAGCCAGAAGGTCCCCCCTGAGCCTCCTTTGCTCCAGGCTGAGCCCCCCCAGCTCCCTCAGCTGCTCCTGCTGCTCCAGCCCCTTCCCAGCTCCCTTCCCCAGCTCCCTTCCCTTCCCAGCACATGCTCCAGCCCCTCCATGTCTTTATTGTCCTGAGGGGCCCAAACTGCCCCCAGCCCTGGAGGTGCCTCAGCAGTGCCAGCACAGGGACGGGCACTGCCCTGGGTCTGTGTCACACTAGTGTCCCTCTGTTCCAGACGAAGCCTCGTTACCAGAAGATGAAATGCCGTGTGAAGGGGATTCTCCTGAGAACATGGAGGTGAAGGAAGAGGAGCCTGAGGTGCTGCCAGAGGATTCCACACCCTGTTCTGGCTCAGAGATCCAGAAGTACCCCAAAAACGAGCCGGTCAAAGCCAAGAGCAAGAAGAAGCCGAACCGGTGCGAGACCAGCAGCCTCCTGATGGGGAACTGCCGGCGCGGGTACGTGCGGGAATGGTGCCATCCCTGCACGGAGTGCGGGAAGCGCTTCCGCCTCAAGATCAACCTCATCATCCACCAGCGCAGCCACGCCAAGGAAGGGCCCTACGAGTGCCCCGTGTGCGAGATCGGCTTCACCGACAAGCGGCACCTGGACCTGCACCGGAGCGTCCACGTCAAGGACAGGGCCGTCGGAGCCAAGGTCTGGGGGAATGTGCACCCGGAGCTGCGCGTCCGCCCGCGGAGGGACCTCTGCGGCGGCAGCCCCGGGCTGGGCAACGGCATCCACGCCGGGGGGGCCTTGCTGGGCCAGCCCAAGGAGGAGCCGGACGGAGGGGGCGGGTCCGGCGCCAGGATCGCGCAGCCCCCGAATCCCAAGCCGAAGTGCGTCTACTGCAAGAAGGTGCTGTCCTGCCCCATGTCGCTCCGGCGGCACCTCCGCACCCACGCGCGGGAGCGGCCCCACTGCTGCAGCTCCTGCAACAAGTGCTTCACCCGCCACACCCACCTCCTGCGCCACGAGAAGATCCACGAGCGAGCCCGGCACGCCGCCGCCATCCCGGCGTCCCAGCATCCTGCGGCTCCTGCGGCCCAGAGGAACGTTTCCAAGGGGAACACGAGCCCCAAGCCAACAAAAGCGGGTCCACCCAACGCGCTCCTGTTGGGAGCGACACAGCTGGAGCTCCCGGACAAGGGCTGCCCCCTTCCCAACCGCGTCGGGAGAGCCGCGCGGCCCGTGGTCCGGCTGGGAACAAGGGCGGCGCTGGCGGAGGTGATGGAGAAATGACCACGGGGCAGATCCGAACTGTGTGTGGCCCTGGAGAGAAGCTGTGAGTGTTGGGTTTGCGTGTGGTGGGGCACTAGGGTTGGGAATCTGCTGCGTTTTAGGAGCTTCCCGGAGTTGTAGAAAGAATGGGGAGCATGGGGACCACCACAGAGAGCAAATTGCAGGAGCCTCCAGCAATCCAAAATGCTTCACCATTCCACTGACTCTTGTGCCCATTGGCTGATTGCTTGGAATTTTGCCAAGCTGACGTGCCTGGGAGATGACCAGGTCAAACAGCAGCTGAGCTCTCCCATTCCTTGACACTGGAACTGACCTCTCGCCTTGGGAACACAACTGAAGACGACAGGGAGAAGGGAATGGAGTGGCAGCATTCCCAAGGAGCCCTTTGCTCCACTGACCAAGCTTCCTGACCAAGATGCTGGATGAAGGGAAACCCCACCACGTCCTGGCCACGCTTGTCACACCCCATCCCAGGGAGGAGATCCACCAACCCCTGCAGCGGGTCGGGAATGCTGGAGCTTTGCACTGGAAGATCCGTAGAACAAATCAAACCCCACTGTTCTGATCTGGCATATTCCAGGGGTCCTGGCCACTCCATCAGGGAGTCCACAGGCACTCTCAGGACCATCCTGCATGGATGCAGTCATTTTGGGAATACTTGATGGGTCAGCCAGCCCTGTGTTGCCCAGCAGTACCTGATCCTCGTGGATCCACCATGGCAGCCACCGGCTCCCGCTCTCCCAACCACAGCTCATCTCCTTGTGCCCCAAATCCCACAGTAACAAATCCTACGGGAAACCAGTTCTGCAGCTACCTCAGCCGGAGGGGAGGGAGACCTGCCCGGAGGCAGCCGGTGAAGGCCAGGCCTGGCACTGCTCCGGCATCCTTGGAGCCACCGGAACTGTGTCCGTGGCAGAGCCCCACGCACTGTTGGTGCACAGGGAACACGTCCCTCCCGGTGCCATCGCCACGTGGACCCAACAGAGAAGCTGTTGGGACTCTTGAATTTAGTTTTCCAGGTTTTTCTTTTTGTTTTCCTTGAGTTGTTTAATGTAGTTACTTGACATCCTGAAGTTTCTGTCCCTCTCCAAGCGGTGAGGCCGGGACCCGGTTGGCTTTTCCCATCTTTCATTCCCGGTCATTCCCAAGGTGTGATGGCGCTGCTGTGGGAAGCTTTGGGAACTGTGCCACATCCAGGTGTGCCCCTCAGCTGCCTCCCTGCCCCCTGGGAGGGACAGCAGTGTCCAAGCTGCTCCATGGGGACACACACCATGTCCCACAGCTCCTCCAGGCCAGTGTGTCACAGTTCCTGCCCCTGGGAAGCAGGCGGGGTGACAATGGCAGATGGGTCACTCCGTGTTCCCGACGGGATGTGGGGGCGGTTGCTGCCTTATGGATTGCATATGGATTACCATATGGATTACTATGGATCTGGCAGTGAGCCAGTGGCTGGTTATCCTGCGGGGGTAGAGATCCCAGGGGATCCCATGACTGAGCTGGTGGTGCCAGCGGGTGATCCTCCCCTGGCCAGCAGAGGTGCCGGCCCCTCCTCGGGCCAGCAGCCCCAACCAGGCATTTCTAAAGCTGTTTTGACCAGGACCAGCGTTTCCTATGACATTCCCAATCCCTTTCTCAGGATGTGGAATTAATAAAGTATTTGCCTCTATGTCTGGCTGTTTTGGGGGCTGTGCCAGTGCCCATGGGAATGGCCGGGGCTGGAGGAACTGGGATCAGCCAGGACAGTTCTGACCAGGGTGGGGGGTTTTGGAATCACTGCTGGCAGCTCCATCCCTATGGAGCCCCTGGGACCCCAGGCAGGAAGGACGAAGCCTCTGCAGGCAGAAGGATGAGCGGCCGAGGGGAGCAGGGAAGGGCAGGGGATGGAGCAGCCTTGGCTGCCATGGGCAGGGGGATGCCATGGGCAGGGGGATGCCATGGGCAGGGGGCAGTCCCTCAGCACTGCCAGGGAGTCCCGTGGTGCCCAGATCCTACAGAGGATTCTGTGGGGGATTCTTGTGGGACCATTCCAAATTCCCATCAGGCGGCTCCACATTCCTCCCCTCCTCCCCCCAAGGAAGGTGGTGACCCCCATCCCTTTCCAGGATCCCCCATCCCTCTCTCACCTCCCAAGCCCACCCCGAACCCACCCCCTGGAGCACAACAGGAGATCACGAGTCTTTTATCCAAGTCTCTTCCTGGTTCATCCACTGATTCCAACCGCAGCCCAGCCCCCCGCAGTGTATCCAGGCCACTGACAAGCCCTGGGCCACCAACCACCCTGGGGACACTGACCACTCCCAGATCATCAACCACCCCAGGCCAGCGACCACTCCCAGGCCACCTCTGTCCAGGCTGGCAGTGTTCAGACAACCCTGAATTCCACCATTCCCCGAGACCCAAAACAGCCACTGCTCCTCTGAATCCACGGGGCAGCGGCACCGCCTGGCTCGGTTCCAGCCACTGACCCTCCTCTGCTGCCTCGTGACCAGTCCCTGGGGGCCTTTCCCTGCCCACGAAGCACATCCTTCCTCCTCCTCCTCCTGGAGCCCCCGGCGGTGCCACAAGTCCCTGGGCGATGTGACCCCAGCTGCCTTCCCTCCTCCAGCCCTCCGGCTACCGACTGTCCTGGCCCAGAGCCTCGCAGGGCTCCAGCTCCCGCTTGTGTCCCGGCAAGCTGCCGGCCGGGGAGCCGGCCACGGCGTGCACCTTCTGGTGGTGGTTCAGCGACTGCCGGTGCCGGAAGCTCTTGGTGCAGCCGTGGCACTGGAAGGGCCGTTGCTGGGTGTGCCGGCGCTGGTGCTCCTCCAGCGACGCTTTCTGGGGGAAGCTCTCGGCGCACTCGATGCAGCGGTAGAGCCGCTCCCCGGCGGCGCTGGCCCGCGGCGGCCGGCCCGGCCACGCGCCCCGCGGCGGCCCGTGGATGCGCTGGTGCTTCTGCAGGTGGTGCTTCTGCACGAAGCCCTGCCCGCAGGAGGGGCAGCGGTACGGCCGCTCCCCGGTGTGGATCCGGTAGTGCTTGTTGAGGTTGGACTTCTCGTTGAAGCTCTTGCCGCAGTCCGGGCACTGGAAGGGCCTCTCGCCCGTGTGCAGGCGCTGGTGCCGCAGCAGCGCCGCGTGGTGCGCCAGGCTCTTCCCGCAGGAGGAGCAGATGAAGGAGCCGTTGCTCTTCCTCTGCTGCCGCGCCAGGAGGTTGCGCGTCAGCCGGACGCTCTTCCAGCCCGGCGGGAGCGCCCTGGGATCGTCCCCGGCGGCGCAGGGATCGTGCTGCTCCCAGCCGGGCTGCGGCGAGGCCCCCTCGGCACCGGGGTCTTCTCCCAGCGGCATTCCCTGGGGAAGGGCAAAGGGCTGCTCCGTCCCTGCGCCCAGCACGTGCTCCATGGGGAAGGGCAGCCCCGGGGCGGGGTGAGCCTCCACCGGCACCACCACCGGCTTGAACTCCCCCAGGGAGAACTCCCCCAGTCCTGCCCCGGCCGCCTTCGGCCCGGCCACGCCATGGCTGTCCCAGGGAACCGGCTGCTCCTGGCTCAGGGCACCCTCCTCGTCCAGCCTCTCCGCAGGGGCCGTGGGCAGAGCCAGGAGCTCGGCCCCGTCCTCCGGCGGCTGCTGCTCTTCCTTCTTGATCACGATCATCTCACCTGCGGAGACACAGCAGTTCATGCCCGGGAAGGGAAGTTCTCCCATGCCCACAGCTCCAGAGCGGGAGCAGGAGAGGAGCTTCCCCACCACCTGTCGGTGAGCAAACCGGCAAAGAACAAAAGGAAGGTTTTACTGGGAAGAGGGGGACTTCAGGGCAGCTTGTTGGACCTCAGAGACATGGAATCATGGAATAACTGAAGTTATAAAGCCCTCTAAGATCACCAAATCCAATCATTAACCAAGCACTGCCAATGCCACCACTAACTCATGTCCCCAAGTGTCACATCCACACGGCTTTAAATCTCTCCTGGAGTGGGGACTCCACCAGTGCCCTGGACGTGCTGGACACAATGGACACAATGGACTGACAATACAATCCTCACAAAGAGTCCAAACCAGAGGGAAAATGAAGGCAAAGCTGAGCTGCAGAGTCCTCCATCCTGGAAGGAACTTTGTCAGGAATGGTGGAGTTTAAGTGGGCAAATCCAGGGAAAAGGATCAAAGCAAAACCTCCCTGGAGCAGGAGGGAGAATCCACCCACAGGCACCCAGTCCCAGAGCTGCTCTCTCTGAGCCTTGCTTCCCATTTTCCATCCTGACAGACCCCATCCAGTCCAGGTGGGTCCTTAGTGCCCACCCTCAGCACCCACCACTGTCACTCACCGTCACCAAGCTGTCCCATCACCGCTCCCTTCTCTGGCAGCTCAGGGATCCCGGGATCCTCCCTCTCCTCATCTGGTGGCAGCAGCGTGGATTTGGAATCGGCATCTCCAGGCCCTGGGAAGGAGGGAGTGATGGATGAACACTGATGGTGAGGCTCAGCCAAAGGGAAGGCTTGGGCTCTCAGGATGATCCAATCACACAGGACAGAGTCAGTCAAACCAGGCACAGGATTTCCCAGGAAGTGTCTGTCCAACACTCTGCCTCTAAAATTTTAGCCCAAAATTAATCAGAGCTAAAATTTAGGACTCTCTGCAGCAAATCCCTGCCTGGTGGTCCATGTATGGCCCATATCCCAGAAAAAAAAAATGGTGCAGGAACATCAGCTTCAGCACAAGTTACCTGGAATCCCCCCACATTCCACATGGGGAGGGCTCGGGAGCTGGATCAGCCCAGGGATGATGATGCCTCTGACATGATCTGACTGATCCTCCCCGAGAGGGACCGTGGCCTCATAATTCCCCTTCACAGCAATCCCGTGGAGCTCCTGGTTGTCCGTGTTCCCCCATTCCTGCTCGGGCAGAACGGTCGCCTCACCCTCGCCCACCGCTGGCACCTGGAAGCACGGGAGGCTCCACCACAGGGATCCCAACTGCATCCCCCCCCAAGCCCCACCGGTGCTCCAGGAGAGCCTGGCAGGGTCCAGAGCTCCTACAGACGGAGCTGTGTCATGAG